AAACGGAAGGTTGCAATGCTGCGGGAACGGTTTTTGAAAGAGGCTGCGTAGGTTACTCCGGGCGCCACGGCTTTGCAGCGGTTGAAAAGGAAAAGGATTCTGGATGATGAACTAGCGTCTTGCATCTGCAGTAAACTAACTGTTCGTGTTTTCCCGCGAAATTTAGCGGGGAAACATGAACAAAATTAGTTTCTCTGCTAGAATTGGCGGGCAAATTGACGTCATGTGACATAAGTGCCAATTCAATTTCCCGCTAAATTTAGCGGGACGGTTACACCGATGGTGACGCCAGCACCACTTAAGGCTTGAAAAAAACGCGGCTAAGAGCTGCGATCTAAAATCCTTTATTTAATAAAATCGTTTTTTCGATCTTATGCACTTCGTATTGTTACACGTCAAACATACGACCAAATTAAATTCGTCTTTTAATCTTCAAAATGGGCAATTGATTAATTGTTCCAAATATCGTAAATAACATACGACCAAATTAAATTCGTCTTTTAATCTTCAAAATGGGCAATTGATTAATCGTTCCAAAGATCTTAAATAACTTCTCTTTGAGGATGTTAACAATAGTTAACCAATTACATGAGACTTATGCAGTATAGATGAATCAAATAGCGTCTTCGCGAGTACATATAACTTTTTGCTTACACGACCGAAACGGGCTATAATGCCATTATCAGGGGATATATTTTTACTCATACATATCGTGAAGGAGCTATATACGGCAGTATTTGAACTTTTATACCGCGATATATGGCCGTATTGCACCTGTATATGGCAATACATGGCCGTATTTACCCACTTCTGTGGCCGGATATGGTAGTATTTGCCTACTTATACGGCCATATGTGACCGTATTTACTCCCATATATAGCGGTATGTGGCCATATTTGACTCCTTATTTTATAATATATGGACATATATAAAATACATTGGGGCCGTATATGACATTTTCGTACGGAACGGCTCATGGATCGCACGAGTAGCTCATTTTTCATTCTTGCAAAAAAGTTTGCATAAACAGCGAGTCAAAAGGTTCAGACGGTAGCTTGATAATATTCTAGTGTTTTTTCACCGGTTGTAGGGCTGCGATAAATAAAGTATGGGCCAGCAACTCGAAAAAATATCTCACCCAAATCTGCTTGTAAAAAAGTAGAACAATTAGGTTTCTTTTACAGATGGCTAATCATTTTGTAGTGTACCTTGTCAAGTCCTGTTCTTGTTTCGTTTTCACATCGTTCACTGCATATAACAGCTCACAGAATTTAAATATCGCAGTAGGGGCACATTATTGTTTTGTTCGAATTTAAGTCGTCTCTTTTTAAACTATGCAAGATATGCTCTGAGAGAGGGTGTGTATAGGAATGCTTCCTCGAGTATATAGCGAAGTTCTGAGCAATTAATTGGAGGTTGCCATTTAGCTTTCCTAACTTTGTCCCATACAGTTTTTGGATTGACCTAAGGGGTTATTGAGCCAATGTAGCCCCCCCCCCCCCAGCTTTTTTTCATGGCGCCGATGCTGCTGACCAGATTGGGCTTAGGCCTGTTTAAAATACAACAGGTTGGTAGTTGTTGGGTATTGTCAAAATAGTCCCCAAAAATTATTTTTAGAATTTTTTGCCTCCTTGTATATTGAGAATCCCCAAGGTTTTGGATTGCGAGGACCACAACTTAAGATGATAGACATTCAATTTTAGCTGCCCAAATACTACTCAGTGAAGTATCTGGTTGCCTAATCGACAATTAAGCCCCTTAATTCTGCCTCCGTTACTTGGGCCAACATGCGAAACTCCTTCCAGTTGGGTTTCTGAAGATTCTATTTGTGTGGTGGTTGCACCGAGCTGTGGGGTCTGTTTAGCAGGTTATTTTTTACAAGGAACTGGTTGCTGCGCAGCCGAGAAAAACACGCACTCTAATCTACCTTTGTAAAGAAAGATGAGGACAATATTGAGAGATGGATGGCATGAAAACTACGGTTAGAGGCGGAAAATGAGCTTTGATCACCATTATTTAAGTTACGTAAGTTATTTTCCTGGATAATGTTTTCCAAACGTTTTCTTAAAAAATCATATCTGGTGTTGCCCCACTTTGGCCTGTGAACATTTGGGCCTCCATCAATGAGAAAGGGTGGGATATGTGGCTATAAAGGGGTTTCAAGGTGCTCAGCAGCTATAGCTTAAAAATTTGGGATATAAAGTGAGCATATAGGTATGAAGACATCCACATAGAGTCCCACTTCCACGGCTTTCACATCTTCGGAAAGTGTGATTGGTGCCGCAGAATAACTGTTGTGCACGCCAATTGCTATGCATCCAAGTGGTTTTGCGTTCTGCTTTGTCTTTTCGATACAGGTCTTGCTGTACCTTTTATACCTGTGCCACACGGGCAACTGGAAAGCCGGTTACAAAGAATGACATTTGAGCAGACGGCTAATCAGCGCCTGACACTCCGGGCGTGGCACATTCCACGCGCTACTTTTTCGCGGTTCACACAAATGTCATTCGTCGATCACACAAATGTCATTCGTTGTAAATGGCATTCGAGTTGCCCCAGTGGCACGGGTACTAGTCGTAACTTGTTTTCCTCCTAAAGGATTGTCTCGTGCGAGAATTATGTCAGTTTGGAAATTGTATAAAAGTAACTCTTTATATCGTCTTGGTTTGCATTAGGCCATGACTGCTCCATTGAATGAATACTGTAGTCATGTCAAAACACATAAAAGATTGTCATAAAGGTTTGCATATTATGAGAGATGCATTTACTCCTAGCTAGCACTTTTTATTCAAAGGGAAGGGTGTTTCTTTTTAGCTCCGGTTACAGTTTATACCTCCATTTGTTATAAAATATTTCCTCCAGAAGAATGTGGCCTATACATCTTGCTTGATTCGGGGTTTCTTTCGCTCGGCTTGGACCAACGGTAGCCGTTATTTGTACGATTTGTGCTGAATTTCCTGGTTTCTTTTACGGTAGTCTAGACAGTGTTTTGGGCTGGGTTCCCTCCTAGGCTGTGGGACATTCAGTTGCTTTGCATAAGCATTGTCTGCGTTTCTGTCCGCTTCTTAGAACTACGTAGGGCGGGGGGTAGTTGGCCAACAGGCATTTTCTGATTGCCATTACTGGAAGTTTGGATCTTATGGGGCAGTGATTCTTCATAGGGTTTTTTAATCTAAGGTGGAGAGACTATATCTATGCATCGCAGTAGCTAGCTTTCAGCAAGACCTTAAGGTGTACAACCGTTATAGTGCTGCCAGTTTGGGCAGCTGCTCGAGGAGGCCGGGTGTTTGCCTCTGCATGAAAAACGCCAGAGCACTATTTCGCATAATCGTCCTTGCTGGATGGTTTTGCAAAGCATCGCGAGCCTAGACATGATGCAGTTTAGGGGCCTAATTTGGACGTAAAACACCTGAGTGGGCTCGGGATACATGTTCGAACCTCACATCATAGGTAGCCAACCTTAATATGTAAAGGTGAGTCAGGTGGTTTGGACGTAAGCTTTACTTGCTTCAATGTAATTTGTTTGTGAGTATTTCATTTCTGAATCCCTCGAGAGTTTTGTTCACTGGAACCTCTAGCACTTCTTCCACACAGATGAGCCTCTTTTGACGAGTTTACATTGCGGTGAGGCGTAAAAATGACTGGACTATTTCTGAGATCTTTTGCTTTGAGGATCGTCTTGCTTGCACTCTCAGATAATGCTTCATGAAGAACATCAACCGAGACACTTTTATTAGTGTTTGAAACAATCGTAATGCCGTTCATTTTTTCTTTCAGTAAGGGATGGCGAGGTTTTACTCAGTGGGGGATCGGGATCGGTGCCTGACATCGCTCAAACTTTCTCCATGTTCCTGTCTTATGTTCAACCTTTTTGCTTTCTCCGGTCTAAAGCCATTTCTGGTCTTCCATCGTGATTGTTTGGTGTATGGTTTCCATCAAATCGAGTTAAGTTTACCCCTCGCATCGCCCCTCTGCTATGAAGCCCAACAAGAGGAAATTTGGAGTGCACTCAGCAAAGAATAGGCGAAAGCGCGAGAATACCAAGTCAAGGAGAGAAGCCTAACCAAGCGCATTATCGTCAGAGACAATTGATGGTATCCTTGCATACGTTTAGCCTTTTCCGCCTAGCGGCGAAGAGGAAGTAAGGAGAGGAAAGGTAAATAAAAAAAATAAACGAATAAAAAAGAGGATTATTTTTCGATTAGCACCTTGTCGGGCCAGCCAGGTCCACCGTCTACGGATAGCATGGGATAAAGCGGAGCGTTCCCTTCCTCCAGGTGTTCCGAAGGGTCCAAACAACCTCGGAAAGTGCTCAGCCTCCAAGATAAGTCTTTTCCCGTATTGTGGGAATGCCGCGCGCGGTATGCATGGGTGGGTTTAAAACAAATCCTTTCTTCCAGCCCCTAACCGGCAGTCTGCCCGGCATCGATGACCCATGCCGACATAGACTCCGAAGGTCATTGCGCGCGCACATTTCCCAAGCACGGCAAGGTGGAGATCCCCCGGGGATTAGAAAGTTTCTGAGCATCATTGAAAACAACTAGACACTAAAATTTCGAAAGACTGAACGCAGGGGTAACGCAGTATTGTGCTAGATTTACGTCTCGTGGGACGAGCGCAAGGCTGGCAGTGTGAAATCGCAGAATATAACAGACAGAAAAACAACCGTGTAGTCATTTGAGGACCCAGCAAAACAAAGCACGGGCATCAAATACTTCTAAAATATTGTGGTTTAGTGGTTTTCAATGACACTCAGCAGGTTTCTAATAAAAACCATTTGTTTATTGTCACTAAGTGAAATATGAATAAGCAAATTCTAGGTCATTATCTTCCTTAACTTGACAATAATTCGTCCCCCATATCATGTCCTCCTTGCAGTATAACTCAGGTGCACAAAATACAAAAGCGTAGATTTCATGGCTTTCTTTTAGATATATCGGTCAAGTCTAAAAACACGAAAGGTTTCGGTTATCAGGAATCAGGTAAAGAAGTTATCATACCAATACCATACACAATCCTAAGTAGACTGCTAATTCCTCTTTGGTCTTGAAAGCCTTTCTGTACTCTTTGTCAACCAAAATCTTAAGCTCTGCAAACAAAATGCTTCCATCGGTTTTTACTCCTGGTCCAGCTGTAAATAGACAAAACAGAATTGTAAGAAAGTAATGATTTTTATTTAAATAAATAAGATTATCTAGTTACAAGATGGTTTACGATTTATTCTAAACATTTGTCAGGTTGTAACGATTCGCATTATGCTTGGCAAGTTTATGTGATCATACAACTGAGATTGTATATTATCAAGTAGCAGTATAAGCGGCCTTGGGAATCAGTGACAGCAACTTAATGAACTTTTACATAATAAAAAAATAATATGTATAATGCTTATACGAACAAAAACATTGATTTGTAGCATATATTACAAATGAATGATGTATGGAACATAGTGTTCACAAAACGATCGCATAGATTTGCATAAAACGTCTGAAGAGTAGTGCCGCTAAGCGAAAAACAATATAATGTTTTATAAAAATCATCACCCTTCTCCAAACCTTCACCACTCACTAAAAGCATTCCAGAGTGACTGTTGGAGTAGGTCGTAGAGCCTAAAAGGTAGGCATGGAAAATATTTTAGGTGGCGCAGACGCGCAGCATTTGTCTGCGGAACAAGTGGTTTTGTGTTTGAATCTTTGTAGAGCATGAGTATACAGGGTGGCTCGAAAATACATATATGCAAATTTTATGACTAATATCCTTAAACCAAAAGAAGTAGAAAGGTAAGGTTCTAGTAGTACGTTAAAAAAATACCTAAAGGTTTGTCCAAGCTGCCTAACATGGTGTCTCCATTTGCAGGATGCGGACACTTTCTCTTTTTTATGCGGACATGCTGATCGGGCATGGGCGGAAGTAGAGTATCGATATCATCTCCTGCGTGCTACTGCAGAAGCGCACATTGAACTGTGTTAAGTGTCTACAATAAATATTTTAGTGTTCCTCAATATTTTCTGGAATGCATACGGTCCTATCTTTTTCGTTTAGAATATATTAGTACCTACATTTTTAAATACAATTGTGAAACAGGCTGCATATCAATTTAATTCTCAAGGAGTGCTTCTGCACATTGTTTTATTTATGCTGCCGTAGAAACAAAAAGTTATGCGCATGGCAAAAAAAATAGTATACCGGGACATGTGGAACGGCGAATTTCGGGGACTAGGACGTTAGTCATTAAGTATTCGATGTTTTAAGAACAGATTTCGGGATCCCGACTATGTGTCTGAGCGCCTGATTTATTGCCTACGTGATGCCGTGACACAACTGAGCGGTACCACTAGCTAGTCGTGTTGAAGCGTCTCGTGATCGCTGGAAATTTTGCCGAAAGCATGTCTACAAGAATGAAGTGATAGTTCCGGGCGACCTACTAGAAAAAAAACTGAAGTGAAATGGAATAAGTGCCTACTCAAATTTGGTAAATAAAGAAACCTGAAAGCAAGAGCTTAAGGGACGCTGGCGCGAGCTGCGTGAACGTCATCTGGACCTTCGTCCATATGACCTGAATCGGTCAAAGAGTGAAGGAACCACCGAAAAAAGTCTCATGGAAAGTTGCTAAAACTTGTTACTACTACAGACTCACGAGACGTTTTGGTGCCGCGCGAGTAAAGCAACCGCGCCATCAATGGCCTGAATTCTGAGAATCCCAGTGCTGGCTCTACCCGCAACGGAAGGGTTACGTCTTTGTGTTCATTTTGGTGGCATACCTACAGGCCAAAGCGCAGAAGTAAGCCTACGTTTGCCACACTTGGTGTGAGCATTGCGGGTATTCATAATCGAAAACCGGGTAAGATGTAGCCCATGCGCCGTGGCGGAGTCGCTTGTTAGTTATTATGTAATACTCACGAAAAGCCACGACTCAGTGCCGTCCTACTTTGGCCGCAATCGGTGTATGCTTGAAGTGTGCACTGAAGCGTACAGAAAAGCATTTCAAACGGCCGTTCTTGCAGGGTGTGAGGTGATGGTCTCGTAACTCATTTTGCTATCGTGTTTCTGTGTCGACAGAGGGTCACTGGACGTCTTGAAATGTTCATGCACTGGATCGAGCGAGCGTTGGTGCGAACGGTTGTTCAAAGACACGTATGCTTTGCTTGTGTACTTCTGCTCGTCCTTCGTCCGTCTTCACGCCGTTTTACAGCGCAGCTCTTAGACGCCCGTTTCAGTGTTTCGCGGCGTCGGCGTAACCGCCCCGCAACTTAAGCCACTTAATTTAGCGGCAAAATTTCCGGGCTAAATTAGAGGAAAATTTATCGAGGAATTTTAACGGGAGGAGGAGAGGAAGAAGAGGAGATGGAGGAGGAGGGGAGGAGGGGAGGGTGGACGAGGAAGAGACGAGGTCGAGGGGAGGAGGAGGAGGGGAGGAGGGACGAAAGGAAGAAGGGGAGAGGAGGAAGAGGAAGGGAGAGAAGGAGGAGGAGAGGAGATGGGGTGGAGGAGGGGAGGAAGAGAAGGGAAGAGGAGGATGAGGAGAGGAGGAGGGGAGGGGCATACACTCCCTCCGTACCCACCCCTCCTCTCCTCAAGAGCTGCGCTGTAATTTCGCATTACAGAGATTTGTAAACGTCCTTCATGTTTTCGCTTCTTAATGCACAACCAACTCGGACACATTTTAGCATCCTTCAAAAACTTCGTAGTGGAAACGAGCCGGACGCGCTCGCACGGAGTGTCGGCAAACTGAACTTGAAGTTCAATGAGATATCAAAGGTAGGGTGAAATGTAAAGAACAAGTACCCCAGGCATATAACAAGTGCGGACATATACTATTCCTGTCACCATCAGCTGTTCCCGTTGGCGATGATAAAATGAACGTGACTAAGGATAAGTGTTAATTACAATCACGCCCTATACGCAGCGCAGCCTATCTTATGATTAAGATGATGATACATGATTGAATTGTGTATCTACCCTCATTGAGAAGAGTAGCAGAAAGCTTTAAGAAAAATTTAACCCCGGATTGTTATAATCGGACCATACAAAGTGCGTATTAATTTCCCATGAACGTCACAAAATTTAGCCGTCCTCCTTTTATGTCAAGCTTGTGAGCTATGACGTAAGGGGCTAGCCATGTATCTAATAAAAAGTTCATTTGTAAAAAAACAAACAAGAAAAAATGTCGCTTGGAAGTACCGACCAGTAACTTTCACCAACGTCGCTCAGGCCGATTCATTGAAGCCGGACGCTACGGCGAACGACTAATATGTTTCTATTTTTCCACCTTCACACGAAAAAAACTTATTAACCCAAGGTGTCTCCATTATTGTATCGTTTTGGAAACAACAACGGGGCCGTTAATAACACAAAACAGCTTCCTCAAATCACTGCTTTCACCACCATGATTGTGCCTAAGGACCGTGATCTGATTCCGTGGAGCACGGTTTCAAGGTGAGTGAAGTTGAAGTTTTCTGTATGTGATCTACCTTGCTAAAACATCTATAGGGTTCTGAACATTTGTAAGGTGTTATATCATCTTTTTGTCCCTGCGAACCATCAAATGCCCAATAAGCGCAAATACAAATACGAAGGCAGTATACAGATTCGCAAGCTCGGCGTCCCGGCTTGTGCCCCATTCATGAAGAAAAGGTTCGTTGTACGCCTAAGCACTTATGAGTTGTGAATGCGAAAGCATGCGTGCCGTTCCTCCGCCTCTGTGCTTCGTTTGCGGCATATTTGCGTCGCCCGTGCGAGCGCTCTCCCAGCTCTCCTCGCAGCTCTGACCTTCGACGTTTCGTGTTACAAGCGCGCTCGTGGCACGGACACGCAGCGCCACGGGGCGGCGGTCGCTGAAACTGACGCAGGCAGAGACCAACTTGAAGCCTCGTGGACGCGCGCCAACCAATGGGACCGAAGGCGAAATCCATCAGCTTTACCCCGCTCCTTTTGGATCGTGGAAACTAGTTGCCGTTGTCTAGGCTTTTCGCTTGGTTTCATAGCTGGGAGCTGGCTTCGTTTGGAGAAAGGATTTAACGTGCCGTTTGGCGCGCTTCAAACTGATGACGTGGCTCGCTCTATGGGACAGTTAATGCTTTCGCATTAATAAGCACTGCATCCGCTAAAAGCTATCTTTGCGACCTTGCCATTGCATACGCTTATCATCTCGAGAATATAATAGCGGCTAACAGTGGAAATGGTGAAGTAATATATTGCTGGACTCACTCAGAGGGCGAGAAGCGCAAGTCTTCTTTTTCAAATAACCAGCGTCTACCCATAACTCAACTTGGCGTTTATCGCTCTTTGACTTCGCGTGCACGCTCAGTGCTCATGGGACGTTGATATATTAACAATGATAATCATTTGCGTCAGGGGCGGTACAACTAAAATTTCTCCAGAAGCATAATGTGCGTGTGCGTACATCCGCTGTATCCGCTGGCGCCTCCAACAAAATATTGTGGGAAAATATCTAAAAGAAACGAAGTTACCCACATATATTCGTCGTCGCCTATTTTAGACATTCACATTTAATTTTTTCTAAAGATAGGTCGAGTGCGTGTACCAAACCCTGCAATTTTCTGGTGTATTAATCGTCCAATCATTTAGCAACAGGTGTATCCAATACAACGAGTGACAACGTTCAATAGCACTGAACGACAAATGAAGAAAGCATGGTCTCAGCTTTGATGGGTCCTCAAGGCCCAAGGCCACTCAAGAGCCGATGACTTCGAGTTCATTGCCTCAGACATTTTGCGCGACTGAGGCTCGATCAAAGTGCCGGTTTGCGTAGAAGACGAGAGGCTACTTTTGCTCTCAATTACGGTAGGTGAGAAATTATAATTCTAGAGCTTTTTGACAAAACTCAGACGAAGGTTCAGTTCCTATGTAACCTGTGTCTCATGGCTGAATATATGATGATCAATGAGTATATTTTACCCCTATTTCCCAAATACACCTTGTTGCTGTCGTGATCGAGACAATATTGATGGAACTGCGTTGGTGCCTTCTAGCATAGGAATACAGGTGTGAGTCGTGTCGCGTCTGGTCGCGATCTGGTGGCGAGAAGCTCCGACCGCGGAAACGGCGGGCAGAGTCCAGGGTTACCCCGCGGAGGTGGCAATGATGATGGCGGCGGTGGAGACGATGATGATCTCCCGACAGTCGCTAAGTGTATGTACTGGGCTTTTAACTTTGAACACACGAAAACATTGCACTTGCCCTACTCATGGACGCGCTTTTCTTGATTATAATAAATGTTACTTTTAAATGAATCCGCTAATCAAATGTGTCTTGATTGCAAGTAAAATACCTAATATACTATACCTTTATTATTATTCTCCTTATCGGAACGAGACTTAACCTTGTATATTTTATGAGGAATACGCCCATCTTCTGATCGGGCTGTGATACTAAGAGGTGCAATTCTTAGTTCATCATTCAGAATTCCTTTCTGAAACGAAACAAAAACTGAGTTGATAAAAAATGAAAAAACATGCATTCGGTAGACGACAACTTAGGTTATAAACAGGGTTTTCTAATATCAACTACGTTCGAAAAGATAGGAAGTAAAATCTTGGTTGATTTAGGAATCACCAAGAATACACGGCTTACTGAGATCTTTTTAGCAAAATGCTGGCAACTGATGTTATTCTCGGCAGAGCTCCTGGACAACGGCAGTGATGATGAGAGGTCAATTTATGAATTGCTTTTTCATTGGAAAACTTATAAAGCTGATTATAAACGTGTGATGAAAGTGAATTGCAAATATCACTCTTATTGAGTCACAAAAATATTAGAATTCATCTAAGTAAGTGATTGAAGTAGCATTTGAAATAATAAAGTTTAGATCACCGTTTCAAATTCTTGCTTTTTGCATAAAAAAAGGAGGCAACTCCTTCATCACCACAAGAAATAATCAAATATCTTAGTAAAGAGGCATTATTATTACAAATTCTTATGTATTTCAATTGCCAGTTTCTAGATATGATTACTATGTAAGCGCAGTATTGTAGACATCGAAATATCACCAAAAATAATGGAACAAAGCACTCAGGTTTAACTAAAATAAACTTTGTAAATAACTCCCAAATTGAAGCCATAGTGAACTTCGAAAACCAAAACCCGTTTTTAACAGAATCACCATGAAGCCAATAAAATATAAAAATAAATTGTTAAGTCTTCTAGTGTTGTCATTAGGGCTTTTTAATTCTCCATCAACTTTCAGTAATAAAAACGTTAGTTCGCGAAATGGATAACACGTTTTATAAAATTTTAACAAGCATTTGACACTTCAAGAGAAAGTCTTTTTTTTGCAAAATTAGATGACAAAGTTTAATTTATTACAGGTATCAGGGGAATGTCATGATGAGCTGTATTAACACACATTTATTATGAAATAGCGATATAAAGTGTTCTTAAAAGAATATCGCTTATTAAACATGCAATTGGGAGCTGTTTCCAAGTCTTTCAGACCTTGTTTTTGGGGAACGACAGATACATGTTATGGTTTCATATGCAAATAACATACACATCTTTAAAATATTTATTCAGCTTAGGTACTTCAACGGGCATCACGAAAAGTGTAAAGATCGTCAGGAAAGTAGCTTCTTAGATGAAAATTTTTATTCGCGGTGGAAGCAAGAGCAGGAGTTTTCAACGTTGTCTCTATTTCTGTAAGTTAAAATATTACTAGTAAAAGAACAATGGCATTGAATTACTGCTTATGCGCGCACGGACAAAATTAAAGATTGAAAACTAAAACAGGATGCATGCAAATGCAGTAATTCTCCTTAACATTTCTTTGATCCACAAGTGTTAAGATTCGGCAAATATGTTAACTGTAATCTTAATTAAACAGTTTACAATAAAATTGCTTTGAATTAGATACTAATGAAAAGGTATTAGAAAATGTTGCAAGTTTGCCGAAAACAGATGTGTGTAAAAATCCGCAGAAAGATGTGAAGAAAGGGATTTTATTGTGCAGTATATATTGTTTTGCTATCGTTTATACACATCCGAAATCCGTGTACACACCAAATCTGTGACTTGAAAATATGTTTACATCCTTCAAAATTTGCGATTTACTTTTTTTTTTATTTTTTTGCCGCAATTGGGAATATAATATATCAGTAAATATTTCGTTCATCTTGAGCTCCAATGTGTTGATTGGATTTTTTAATATAGCCCATTTTCACTTAACAATAAGAGGTCAGTATTATCAATTAGTGATTATATTATTAATCAACTCTATAAGCGCCGATATATTTAATGGTAACCACTGATGGTTTGCGTCCGTGACCTCCCAAACAGGATTTGCCTCGCCGTGATTGGCAGGATATTTGCCTCGCTGTAAAAGAGGCGATTGGGCATTCATAATGAATATACAAAAAAGCTTTGGTTTGGACAATCGCCATCTTTGACCACAGAAGCGCTTTTTATCGCGTACGTCGCTAATAGTGACATATTTGTAAGATTTATTCGCGTATTAAATCCCGCTTACGTTTTTTATGTTGTAGTTTCTAAATTTGCTTCTACTAAGACTTCTCTGTTTGGCACAGAGCGCCTCATGGTTACAGCGTAACCTCTAAGTTATTCATATCAGAAGCATAATTTTAGAGCGCAGCTCTTAGGGGCCCGTTCCCGGCTTGAGCGGCGTCGGCGTCGCCGTCGGCGTAACCAAGGTCACCCCAAGGTCACACGACCCCCAAGGTCACCCCAAGGTCACACGACCCCCAAGGTCACCCCAAGGTCACGTGACCCCTCCCCAGAGGTCACGTGACCCCCCTGAGGTCACGTGACCCCCCGAAGTCACGTGACCCCCCGAAGTCACGTGACACCCCCCCCCCCCCGAGGTCACGTGACCACCCCCCAGGGTCACGTGACCCCCCGCCGAGGTCACGTGACCTCCCAGATGATGTCACCGACATCCGCATCGTCATCGTCATCATCACGGATGACGTCATCAGTGACGTCACTGATGACCTCACCGGCATCCGCATCGTCATCGTCATCATCACTGATGACGTCAATGGCATCCGCATCGTCATTGTCATCATCACGAATGACGTCATCAGTGACGTCACTGATGACGTCACCGACATCCGCATCGTCATTGTCATCATCGCTGATGACGTCATCGGAGTCCGCATCGTCATGGTCACTGATGACGTCATCAGTGACGTCACTAATGACATCATCGGCATCGTCACGTGACCCCTCAAGGTCACGATACCCCCAAGGTCACGGGACCCCCCCAAGGTCACGTGACCCCCAGGTCACTTCACCCCCCCCGTACCCTTCTCTCCTCCTCCTCAAGAGCTGCGCTCTAATTCGGCGTTACAGGGAATTGTAAACGGCTTTCACTTTTTCTTCTTGTCCACTTCGAGAGGCATATCTAGATATAAAGAAGGAATATACCACTTCAACTGCGCCGTTTCTGTCTTCCACGGCAACTGATGCCATTTGATATCTGTCATGATACATGTTTGCTCCAAGCTTTTTTCCATCCATCTGTTGAAAAATATGAAATAAATTACACGCTTTTTCACTGAACGTTTAGATCGAATGAACTTAAAATATTTGCTTTATATAAAAACACTTGAGGTGGGGTGGAGGAGCGGTGTACCGCAGCCCATGAAGCGTACACCCCGACGCCGCGTAACGTGAGCCCAGTCCCCGGCTCAATAAGACCGTCCGTGGAAACGACGAGGCTCGAGGAAGTCACCTTGTTCAAGGTTTGCCCCCGGAATTCGGTGTACTGCTGGAGGACCCACCACTCGACGAAGCCTACGATGAGCAACCAATCTTCGCAGACCCCTACCGCCACCCCATCGTCTACCTGTCACTTGCCCCTCGGAAAGCTGCGTTATTCCGCGGAGATATATGCGAAGACCTTGACGACTGGATCCAGCAGTTCGAACGAGTAGGTCGTCATAATGAATGGACGCCGGCCCAGTGCCCGCAGAACATCTATTTTTCACTGGAGGGAAGGGCGGGAAATTGGTAGGAAAACCGCGTAACTACGATCACCTCATGGGAACTGCTTGAAGAGGGTCTCCGACTGACGTTCTCGAGTCAACATAATTCGAGAGGGCTGAAGATCTGCCTCGGTTAAGAACTCAAGACCCGAATGACAGTGTCCCTAACTTCGTGGAATATGTTTGCGCTTAAGTTCACGCGCTGACCCTCAGGCCACAGAAGAAAATAGGCTACAAGTCCTGATGCGAGGCGTAAGACAAGACATCTTCAGAAACCTCATCCGTAACCAGCCTACGACGGTTGATGGATTTGTAACCGAGGCAACAAACAGTGGGCAACCACTGGCGGCTCGAGCCCGCCACTACCACCAGCTCGGCAACGCCTCAACACTCGCACTGCCGCACTCTGAGCTCAGCGCTAAAGGTGACAATCTTCGCGAGATCATCGGAGAAGTAGTTCGAGAGTAGCTCTGAAAGCTGCTGCCTGCCGCTGGTCGTCCAGCCTTTCTCTCCAATGTCGACATTCGCAAAGGGGTCCAATGGGCACTTAAGCAAGAAGTTCCTGTCGACTCCAAATAGGTAGCACCGGTGCCGACATGCGCCGCCGTGGCTCGTTGTCCAGAGCCACCCGTCGCTGAACACTACGAGGCTCCTCCCCGACGCGACCCTCCATCGCTGCAGTACACCCGACACTCGCCCGGTGTAACCTGCACCTAGGAAGACGGACGTGTGAAGAACGGCTGACCAACGCCCGATCTGCTCTCACTGTAGGGAAGCCGATCACAACTTCCGGCGATAATAACACGTCTTTATTACACGAAAAAATATACATCGTTACAAACAAGCCTGCAAGAGCACGTGATTGCTTGCAGACATGGCCTGACAACCAGCAAAGACACTACAGATAATATCAAAATATGCAAATCACAAAATAAAGGGAAAAACCCAGTACTCTTAACCCATACGACAATTTAAAAATCGTGTTTAGAACAACAATTTCTAAGTTCTTTTTTAATCACTCCAAACAGATGTAGATCTAAATGGTCGTTAGGCAACAAATTAAAGTAATGAGCAACGTAAGAAGACCGAACTCGGTTTCCGCAATTTGTGTATACCCTAGGGAAGGCAAACCGCTCTATTTTTCTAAAAACCCTTTTTTACAGGTTTCTTATGCGTTCTATTATAATAATTCTTAACTAGTATTATATAATCTTTCAGATGACAAAAGCTGTAGCAAACGCATTTTTGACTGTTTTTAACTCATCCAATTTCGTTCCTTGTGCTAAATGTCTACAAACGTTACGCAAATTATTATATAACTTACTTTTTCTAGAGTTCTAACAAAAATCATAAACTGTTATACCCTACCGAAGCACGGACTCTCCTAAAGCTTGAAAAACCCTCCCTCTCAAAGTCAGGCTGGTTACAACTCGAAAACAGTATATATATATGCATGTTAACACCGCAGCTTGGGTTAGTTGGCTTTCTATAATTTGTACTTCAAAGCGCATAAACGTATCACAATAGGAAGAACTCATTCAAACACAGACACAAAATCAAACATATATCGCTGACTCACATCTCTTTGTATTTAGGCTTCAATTTCTTCTACTTCGTATTAAAACAAAATCTGAAAATTGTTTTGTCATTTTTTTCGCGCATTAAAACGAATTTGTAAAAAAGTAGGCGATTATCATCTTAAGGTTAAGTAAGCCAACAATTTTGCCGATAAGGTAAGAGATGGGCTGCTCACAGATCCATCGTCAAGCCTGGCAATATGCTTTGCTTCAATTATTTCTCTTGTTGGCTGGTTGTTGCTTCGGTCAAGCACGGTGCAACTACGTAGTTGTGCCGCACACCCGCAATCCCGGTAGTGCAGACCTAAATGTCCTGAGTTGGCTCTAGTGATGTTATTCTGGTGTTACTAGAATAACCGATATCTCACCTTATCCGCAAAAGAATTTGGCTTATGTAACATTAAGGTGATAATCGCAGACTATTTTACAAATTCGTTTTAATAAGCGAAAAAATAAATGACAAAACAATTTCCAGATAATGTTTTGATACGAAGTAGAAGAAAACGAAGCCTAAATACACAGAGTTGTAAGCCAGCGACGTGTGTTTGTTTTTTTGTGTTTGTGATGGATTGAGTGCTTGCTATCGCGAGACGTTTATGCGCTGTGAAGTAAAAATTATAAAAATGCGGATACTGCGCGAAGACATTTCTCAAGATACTCAATCTGACCATTCCCAAAAAGATTTTCACAAAAAAAAAATCCAGATATTTTATTTAGGTGACATATTCAAGCGACATACAATTAAATTTCTCGCAGTTAGGTCGACGTAGAACTAGCGGTATATTAAATGCCATTGTTTTATGAGGATTGCGGAAACACATTAGTTTCATTTCATCTGTGTTAAGGTATATGCGATTGTTTTGAGCCATGCCATTAGCTCGTGGATGTCGGTTTGAAGGGACACAGAGCTTCCGATTTGTTGTTTTCCGTGAGGAGCGGTATCATTGGCATATTGAAAAACGCGTAAACAAGAGTTTAATTTACCTTTGTCATTACCGTAGTTGTTAAAAAAAGTACCCAAAATGAATCCTCGGGGAACACCTGAAGGAACCATCAGTAAATTGCTTTTAAGATCACCAATATTTACTACTCTAGTTTGTATATGAGTAATTTTAGATGCCCCTAACCACAACCCGGGCTGTGCGTGTCTCACCCGAACAATCCCGCCCACGTTGCGGCGAGCGTTCTCGAGAAATTGAGGAATGCATTTGTCGTTCGCCGTCTTGAGCTGGCGCTTCTCTAGAAGGTTCCCACCCGCCTTCACCCCGACGTGCTGCATCACCTGTCTATAGGTCTTGCAGAAAAAGCTTGTCTCCCATGTCCCGCCAAAAAAACTAAGCGCAGCAATTATGTGGAATTATAAGCGCAAATACGACAAGGAAGAATAGACAAGGGAGACAGAATGTCGTATCTGCGCTGTTAATTCCACATAAAGATAGCCAACTAGCCCACCAGATGATCGTAAGCGCAGCAATCCCTGCAGGTTGGGTTGACGTCGATCGACGACGTAAACAGCCTCCAAGAACGCCGGACGCCTCTCGCACGACCGACGCCATTTATCGGAGGGACAATTCAGCAAAAGTGTCCAAAAACTTCAATGTTGTAATCGACGGCCCCGACGAGTCGGCACTCGTGAACACGGGTGCAGACTACTGTCTTGATTGGGAAGCTCTTTCGCCGTCTTGGGGAAAGTGACGGCACCATAGGACGGCGCGCAAATACAAACTGCGGAAGGCCACAAAATAACGCCAATGGGATGGTGCACTGCACGAGTGGACATTTAGGCTGAGACCTGAAGTTCGTCCTTCCCCAAGACTGTTCGGGATACATTATTCTCGGGGTGTATTTTTTGTGCGAATAGGGCGCCGCCATCAATCTGGGAGAAAATCGGTTGACGGTAAGAAAACTTGCCCCACTGCTGAAGCAACCCAACGCCACGTCACCTGCAGTCTGAGTTATCACCAAACACTTGAGCCTGGAGTCACGATCGAGTGTGGGTTTACCCGTTGAGATTGATGACGCTACTTGCGGTGAACGTCTGCTCGAAGGACGTGCTGAGTTGCTTCCACGAAGAGGAATCGGCTACGTAAGAGGTGTATCGAAGCTGCGAGACGGGCATGCCACGGTCCTCGTTAATAATTTCCGACAAGATCCGCGACACCTTACGAGAGGTACTGCCGTGGGCCATGTTGAAAAAATCCGCGACTCAGCCGCGATCATCGCACTCTCAAAAGACTCGACTTGATCGCAGCAACTGAGAACGCCGTCTTCAGAGCATGACATCGACCCAAAGCTTCCTCCTTCTGAACGACATCATCTGCACGAGCCTTTCAGCGAGCTCGGCGAAAGTGCGTCGCCACGTCCTCAAGGGTGTGGCAAATGACGGTATTAAAGCAGGGCTCTGTTACCAACGACGATGCGCTTCCTTTCCACCAATCCCCTTACCGAGTCTCTTTAAAGGGAGAGATGTCATTCAAGACCAAGCTCGAGAAATGGTGAACGACGACATCATTAAAGCTTCGAGCAGCCTTTGGGCCTCTCCAGTTGTGATTGTCACGAAGAAGGACGGAACTCTAAGGTTCTGCGTGGACTATCGTCGACTGAACGCCGTGACGAAAAAAAAAACAACAACGTGTATCTACCTCCCTGCATCAATGAAACATTGAACAAGCTGCACCAAACCCTGTATTTGTCGTCGATAGACCTATAGAATGGCAACTGGAAGATTGAAGTCGACGAAAGCGACCGTACGAAAACTGCCTCTGTCACGCCTGAAATGCTGCACGAGGTCAAAGAGATGCCTTTCGGACTTCGTTCAGCACGAGCGACCTTCCAGCGTGTCATGGACACCATGCTGGCCAGTCTGAAATGGCAGAGTTTTCTCCTCTACCTGGACGACGTCGTTGTATTTTCACGCGATTTCGACGAGCACTTGAGACGCCTTCGAGCCGTGCTCCAGGCAATCAAGATAGTCGGACTCACCTTCAGGCTGACGAAATGCCGTTTCACCTATGACAAACTGAAGTTCTTAGAACACGTAATGAACAAGAAGGGTATTCGTCCTGACCCAGAGAAGCCGCGTGCCGTTGCGGCCTTTGCTCCGCCGTTGGACAGAATGTCAGTACGTACATAGGTTCTTGCGTCTCTGCGCTTTCGTAGACGCTCCGTTCGAGACTTTGCTCATCTTTCTGCGGATCTAACTCATCTCGAAAAGGACGCTGTGAAGTTCCAATGGGGAGACGAACAGCAGCGGGCAATCGAAAAGCCTAAGCAGACTCCAGACACCACCGATCCTCGGCCATTTTGATCAGTCTGTACAAACAGAAATTCACACCGACGCAAGTAAAGACCAAGGGATCACTTACGCAGGTCGGACTTTGTCTAGGTCGGAGAGGAACTACTCAACGGCAAAACAAAAGAGTACATTGCTGTCGTCTGGGCGATAACGAAGTTTGGACCGTACTTATACGAAAGTCCACTCCGCCTGGTCACAGATAACCACCCGCTCTGCTGGCTCATCTACCTGAAGGGCCCATCAGTACGCCTTGCTCGGTGGAGTTTACGCTTGCAGAAGATTGACATGACTGTGGTGTACAAGTACGGTTAGAAGCGCAGTGACGCTGACTCTCTGTCAAGGCCCGCCTTCGAAGCCGAACCCACCTACACCAACAACGATGACCACGAATGTTTTCTCGGAGAAGTAAATGTCAGTGACATGGCAGCACTTCAACGAGCTGATCATAAACTGCAAGCGCTCATCAAGCCCTTAGAGAGACGAGGTACTAAAGTTCCCGAAGTGTTCTTACCAGCCCTGCCAACCTTTGAAATTCGACAAAGTGTGCTGTTCAAAGAGAACTTCTGCAGGAACGACGAAGAGAACAAAGCGTGAACGTTGGTAGTTTCTACCAACATTCGCGAAGAGTTCTCCCAAGGCAGCCATGACGACCCGACGGCTGGGCACCTAGGTTATAGTAGGACACTTGCCAGGATTTGTGAGCAGCATTAGTGGCCCAAAGTTCCGAAGACTGTACATAACTACACGAGATCCTGCCACGTATGCGAACGACGGAAGAAACCGCCGACAAAGCCGGCAGGACTCCTGCTCCCGATTGCGCCGCAGACCATCCCGTTCAACCAAATTGGAACGGATTTTCTCGGCTCATTCTCGCCATCAACGCAAGGCAAGAAGTAGTAAATTGTCGCAATCGATTACCTAACACGATACGCCGATACGAAAGTGCTTCAAATCAGAACTGCCATAGAAGTCGCCACGTTTTTGTTTAATGCATCGCTCTCTGGCACGGCGCCCTCGAGATCCGGATTACAAACCAAGGATCATCATTCAATGCACAGATGATTCGAGAGATCCTTCGTCTCAGCCATACCAGCCGCCGTCAAACCGCGGCGTTCCATTCCCAGACCTATGGGCTGGCGGAACGACTAAATAAGAGCATCGCCGGCATGATGTCAATGTAGGTTGACGTGGAACACAAGTCGTGGGATGAAGTTTAAGTAACGTTCGCGTATAACACAGAAGTTCAAGAGACCACTGGAGTTAGAGCATTTGAACTGGTTCACGGTCGCAAGCTAGAGACGATACTCGACGCGGTGCTGCCCCACGAGTCAGCTGCTGATGGAAGTGACGACGCTCAGATGGTTGCTCAACGGGTTGAAGACCGCTAACTTACCCGGCTCAGGATCCAAGACCAGCAGCCTGTCGACTCTGGCCGCTACAATCTCAGTCGTCGGGACGTCCACTACCAGCCCGTAGACAGGATGTGGGTGTGGACACCGATCCGTCGTCGCGGCCTGAGTAAGGAACTGATAAAACGGTACTTTGGACGCTACCAGATTGTCCTTCACCTAGGGGACTTGAATTGCGAAGTGGCGCCTGTCGGAACTCGGGTTTGTTCACACGCACGGCCACGACCCGAAGTGGTTAATGCCGTTCGTCTCAAGCCTTTGAACGCTCGATAGGACTGTGGATATTTCGTGTTCCAGGTTAATGTTCAGTGCACCGTTACTTTTCTTTTGCTCTGTTTTGTTGTGGGTTTCATCGGCGCGAAGCACTTCTTTAAGGGGGGAGTGACACCGCGCGGGGAACTAGCCGAGTAAGCAGCGCGCCTGTGGCCGAATGGCTATTGTGCTTGGCTCCCACGCAAAGAGCCGAGGTTCGACGCCTGGGAGCGGTCACGCCTTTTTGTTTTTTCTGTAACTGTCGCGCTCCGGTGTTGTCGATAATTCTTTGATTATTCGATGTTGGAATATTCTACGCGCCGAACCTCCTACGCCGACTGTTGCAGAAACCCACGCGTGTACGTATAAGGAGCTCCGTGGGGGAACTTGATCGAGTCACAATTTCGCCTGCATTCGATCGTGCCGTTACACCGTCATCGACGCCTGTTATTCGTCATTTATTCTTCTTTTGTATTGGTACAAGTTGGGGACCAATAAACTTTTAGTTTCTCCAGTTATTTGCCGCCTCATCACTCGTCATTCGTCACATTGTAAGTTTTTTAGTACACGAATTTCAGCCGTCAGGTTACTGTTTCTACTTAAGATATGTATTCTCCTCAGTATAGGCACCTATCTTATATTATTTCGCATCGTTGCTACTTTGATAGTTATCAGAACCGAAACGTTATCTGCAACGTTCTACCAAAGATAAATAAAAACAACCCTTGGATCATTTTAGATATCAACCGCAGAACGATGCCATAATTTGCAATTTCTAAAAAATATGGTAGTCAATGCCTTTATTATCATTATATTGCACCATTCGTAAATAAAATAAGCCATTACTTAAGACTTAAAACAATTCAATGACCACTTTTACCCTCTAGTGGGAAGAAGGGATCAAAGGCACCCTCAGCCAAATGTAACTCTTTCAAACGCGTGTATTATAAAGCCCATCCAGGGCAATAGTAAATAGGATCGCCAAATCATATATTGTCACGGATAATGCGTGACAAATAGTTAAGTACGGATAATAAAAAGGCTAAGGCTGCGAAATTATGTTCATAAATAAAAAAATTAAGGAGTGATTGGTAAAGTGCCAAGCCGACACGAGTGCTAACGTAAAAATTGCAAAAGCAGGACTTTCACATCTGAAATAAACAAAAAAACATAAGACGTACAACAATATTTATAAATCCTTAATTATTACGGAGGTTTGAGTGATCACAAAGTACGAGAATGGTGTTATGTGTTCTCTGTTTCTATGCTTGTTCTGCCTAGTTAGTAACCTGAACCCAAAAGGGAGAAAACATTTGCTATTCCGATAAAAACATTCGTCAGATTTTTGTATTTACTTTCCGTTCTGCAATTCAAATCAAGTCAAATCAAATCATTTATTTGCATCTGCAAGTACAGATGCCGGAGCCACGGACAAAAAAGCCAATCTTTGTTGGCTTGACGAGGTCCGGGCCCTGAGAGCTTGGCAGATGGTGACAGAGATGCAGAAAAAATAATCAGGGTAATAAATATGCACAAAAACACGTTAACTAAAAGGTTAACATAACCTAATACATATTGCCGCGCGCCAAATAGTCAAACGCGGCCGTGGCCTAATGGTTATCGCGCTTGCCGCCCACGTGAAGGGCCAGGGTTCGATTCCTGGGAGCGGCGCATCTTTTTGTTTATTCCTGCAGACTAGTATTCTGGTAAATTCGTGAACCGTCTTGCTGATTCGAGATTAGAATGTTCTACGCGCCTAACCTTCTACGCCGAATGCTCCAGAAGCCCACGCGTGTACAAAAGCGGCTCAGCGTGGCAAGCTGGAGTCATTTTCGCCCCAGCGTTTGACTCTGCTGTCACGCCGACTTCGACGCCCGCGACGCTCTACTTTCTTTTGTTCTTTTTTTATTTTTTTTTGGGCACAAGTTCGCCCCATTAAACGTTTAGTTTCTTCATTTATTATCGCCTCATCACTCGTCATTCCTGACAATATTATACAAAAAGTAGGTACATTGATTTGCGATTTAAACTATAAATGTCAAGATGATCTAAAGAATATTTATTGAGTAATGTGGGTAGGTTATAATGAAGGGACTGCAAGCCATAATTCGTACGATAACGGGACACCCTCCGTTCCTCCGAGCAGCGGGTGCGAATGGTGGTTATATTTCTGGTTAAATTTGATGCACGTCTCAAAAAACCAATCCCTTCTGGTGATGAAAAACAAAATGACCTAGTCCCAATTGTAATGAATCTTAGACCTGAAACCGTATTTCTCACTGTATGTATTGCTGCCATGCCATTTTACTATCTTTATATATTAAGCACATTTATGGCTGGATTCAAAGTATACAAAGTAAGCACATATTTTTGCCGGAATAAAATGATGGCTCCACCGGGCTCCACTACAATACGGTTAAAGAAAACTTTCTTTTGTGCAACAAGTAACCAGCGTATATGGGATAGTGTTACTTAAGCTGTGGAATGAAAAGAAACAAGTAGCTGGCATTACGAAAGCCGCCGTATATGCCATTTCAAAATACTAGTTTTACGGACACTATGTTGGCATGTTGTAAGTACTTCCCTTAAATCTCTTAGCGGGTTACTCCAGCGCTTGATGGGGATTAACGCAGCTTCGACGCATATGTGCTAATGTAGATATGACCCTGAAAAGAGTACTAGCTCTTAGCTTAATTTATATTGAAGCAGTGTGTTTTATGAAAGAGGAAACTCACACATTTGTCGACTGTTGTTTCATCATTGGTCTCGCGGAATATCAAGATGTCTGCGAGCACTGAACTTTTCTCCAGCCTAAGAATCATGTCATCTTGAATGTAGAGCAACTTTTCAACGTTCAGTCCTCTTGCCTCAAGAAGCCTTGGATAGACGACGTACTCAGGAAAAGGCACTGCACATATAAGAAATGAAATTAATTGTCTCGTTATAATTTTAGTCGTAGTGACTTCTTCGTAATTCAGCTGTTGCAGTAACTTTGAAAACAAGATTTGTGTACTCATCCGAAACTGCTAAAAGGGGCGGGTGCGTTGATATCATTTTATGAATTATTAAATTGTGGAAGTAGATTTTATTTTCATTTATTCGTAGCGTTAGGACCCGGTGAAAATGTAATCTACACTCTAAATTTAAATATTTGGTTGTCAAATGCATCATTCATTCACCCTCGCATCTTCCGAAGTACAAAGACATCTAAAATAACCTTGAATATTCACTTTTTAAATTGTATTTCATCAAGGAAGACGCAGTAATAAAGTAAAAGTGATGCTATAAGGTTCAGTTATTTTGTTGACTACGCTACGTAGATAAAAATATAACTGAAACTCAGTTAATATATATTGCTATCTTATTTTGTCTAAAATTAAATAGGCACAGAAGGTAGCTGCAAAGCTCATACCTAAATATGAAAATGAAATTCCACGACCATATGTACCGAAGGCTGATGAAGCACCATGGATCATTTGGCACAAACCTTAGTAGCATAGAGATGCGAGGAGGGAGCTAAAGTAAAGAGAATTCATTTTTGGAGGGTGGGACGTTCGTAGTACCAGCTTCGCCGCTAGCAGCGCTTAGTGGCACCCCATTAGACTCAGTCTGCCGACCGGCGTCTTATGTTAAAGTTATAGCGGCATGTTGCGAATTTGTTTCCCAAACGCTTCAAAATCTTTTCACGTTTTTGAAATGTCTATCTCAAAGGACATTCCAGACTCCAAAAATGTTTGGCGAATTGATAGACAATATACTTCTTCCAAAACCGACGCGCCCCATCGCGGCAAAATGCCACGCAGTGCACTCTGGCAACCAGCTGGCCACTCAGTTTCGGTTTCGATTGAGCAGCTTCATCTCATCCGAGGTGAAAATCAGTCCACTTCCAGCTGGATTATGCAACTGGAAATGAGGCAGTCCAGCAAGATTCCAGCTAAAATCCAGCTGACCCAACTGGAATCCAGCTGGACTGCATAATTTCCAGTTCCATAATTCAGATGGAAATGGACTGATTTTCGCCTGGGATGCCATCACTCCGCGATCGAACGCGCTGCTTGCGTTTTCGATTATCTGACATTTTATGAATGTACAATATACTCACTCTCGAGCGATACGAAACAAAGACTGGGGCGCTTTCCTTGGTTCCCGAAACACCGGATATTGTGCGTGCGTATGCAAATGTAGTAAGACGTGGCTAAGTCACCTCACCCCACGAGAGCGTCTTTGAACTCAATGTCAGTAATCCCGTCTAGTACCAGTGAACTACAACTGAAATTTGGTCACCTTGAGCCCTACACTATTTTTTGCCAAACGTCCGCTTGTTGTTACTTCATGGGCTGAAAAGCATGCCGCATCTTCACAGGCGCACGGCACATGAACTTTTAAGGAAATGTAATGAATTCGAACTCACTGCTGCACAAAAGTTACTATGATGTCTTCCTCTTGTCATCACATATCTCACACTCAAATTTTATGCCGATAGAAGATTACGCTTTCGCAAACGCTGAGACCTGCTGGCTACGACGAAGCCCCTAACAAGCGTCCCCTACTCCTCGCTAAGTCTTTTTGGGCGAGCTTTTACTGACGCCCAAGATCTGTGCCTGAACGGTATGTCTGAAATTATCTCGGAATACTCAGCCAGGAAGAAAGCAAACACATTACAAATATTATGGCCATTAGCAACCGTCAAATGCGCTTTGAATAATTTCGTTCCTTTGGCGCACCGCATAGGGTTTCATGTTCGTCTGGCGCACTTCCGGCGAACGGTGCGACATTCTTCACACAAGTGCTCGACTTTTGCTTTCTTAAAACGGTTTGTACGTGCTAATGTGTCTATATGATTGCAGGATAACTTTCCGCGCATACGCGATGTTGAATATTTGTGAAATTCAAGCAGGTGGGGACTTCACTTTGTGTGGTGCTGCGGGGCAGTGCAGATGAGAGATGAGAAGTGCGTTAAAATGCACCTTGTTTAATGGCGACTCCGAGTTTTACCTCGCGTACTCAGGCGTATTAAAAGAAACAAAAAAAAAACAGCGATTGCAAAAAAAAAAATAAAAAATTATTTCGTCTGTGGACGCACGAAACAAACATACTTCCTGATCAAAAACACTAATGTAAAGGCGCGAGCTCGATGTGCATACTTATTGGTCGTTACAGCTTGTTAATTCGTACACACGCAAGATCCCCGAGCTTCGCAGCGTCGAGATTCCCAGCACTGGCTCGTCCACATACCTCGAAACGCTAACAGAAAGACTCAAGTACATGAATACAACAAGCATGCGTTAAGACAAGTTATACGTCTCGGGCTTGTGCTAAAGCTTCGAGGTCTGTTCATTTAGGTTAGCTTAGAGACAAAAAAATGACGCTCGCGGGACCAGAAAATATGAGATAACGGCCGTTTATAGTCCGCGCTTTGTGTATATTTTCTTGTCGACGTGTCGATCGAAATCGAAACCATGCCACTCTCCTCCCTGCCAACTAGTTCCCAGAGTGCAACGCGCACCGTGTTGCATGCAGGGATTTACAGAAGTAGTGTATTCTGTTGGATACGTGGAGCGTTCTAGCATCACAAGGGTTTCGAGAGAGCGGCCCCTCTTGGCGCAATGTAAATTTCACGCAAAATCTTGCAGGGAAGCTGAATTTGTGTAGGTCATGCGACGTCAGTTTTCCCGATAAACCTAGCGAGGAAATTGAATTGACGTTGAAGTCACGTGACGTCAATTTTGCCATTAAATATAGCGGGAAACCGAATTTGTGTAGACGTCACGTGACACAAAGTCGTGACGTTACTTTCCCGCTCAATTTAGCGGGGAAACTGCATTTGTGTTGAGGTCACACAAGGTCGATTTTCCCGGTAAATCTAGCAGGGAAACTTAATACTGCTTCACTTAATCTGGCTAAACGAAGTCAGCAACAACAAGCCACGTGACATGAAGTCATGTGACATTATTTTCCACAATTAATTTAACGTGGAAATTGAATTGGTGTTTAGGTCACGTGATGTGAATTTTTCCGCTAAAGTTTGCGGGGTAAACGATTTTGTGTTGAGGTCACGTGAAACCGTATGTCGTGATGTCAATTTTCCAGCTGAATTCAGCAGGAAAACTGAAATTATTTAGATCACGATACGTCGATTCTCCCGCTAAAACTAGAGGGGACACTGAATTTGCGTATAGGTGAGAGGACATTGATGTCGCCTAACGTCAATTAATCCGCTAAGTTAAGCGGAAAACAAGATTTGTGTGTAGGCGACGTAACACGCCGTCATGTTTCATAATTTTCCCCGCTAAATTTAGCGGGAAATCTTTATTAGTGTGGTCACGTAAAGTCAATTTCTTACTAAATTTAGCGGGGAAACTATATTTCTGCGGAGGCCACGTGGCAAGCAGTCGTGACGTCATTTTTCTTCTAAATTTAGCGGAGAAACTGAATTGGTGTTGAGGACAAGTTACGTCAATTTTCCTGTTAAAGCTAGCGAGGAATCTTTCTCCGGCTTTACTTAATCTGGCTTTACGAAATCCGAACAACTAGTCAAGCATCCTTTCACGTTAAAGCGATCTCCTTTCCGGACGCTTTTCATATGGGCGAATCGAAAAGAAGTCACACGGGCTGATCGAGGTCCGGTGTATACGAAGGGGGGCGGGGGGGGGGGGGGGGGGGGGGACGGTGGCATGCACTTTTTCAAAAGCATTGTTGAACTGACAGGGCAGTGTGTGGCGGGGCATTGTCGTGATAGACCTACCCACTTCCTCCTTCCCCTCAAATCAATGCATTTCTGCGTCGCCGAGAGCCCCAATAATCATTATCACAAAAGCAACCCGGACAAAAGCTTCACTTCACTATCAGACAAAGAAACCGAGGTATCGCTAACGCAGTCACGTCCCTTCTTTATACGAAACGCTTCAATCAGTTCTCTGGCTGTGCTATCCTTGCTTCTACCCAAGATCCATATCTCTTGAAAGAGCGCCTCACACTTAGAGTCCGCAAAGTTTGTTGGCAAATGTGCATTGCCTTTATTTCTGATTGACAATTCATTGGTAACACAGAGGTTCGGGCCAGTGAGCGCATGAGAAGAGGAGAAAGTGTAAATATACCCGAGAGTTGTAAGTCAGCACTACGTAAGTGTCTTCTTCTTTTGTGTGCATGTCGACTCGAGTGACTGTTTCCCGGGTGCGCTATTCCTCCTGTACATGACAATTGATGTTCCCGTGCGAGGTCATTAACACAGCGTCCAGTTTGACCTAGGGTGCCTTCATGTGCGCTTTGCTTGGGGTGATGACATCTGGCCATTTTGTTTCGAACGCTTATTTTTATTTTTTGTTCTGAAGCGCGTGTCTTTGCACGCGCTCGTGGCCCTGACTGTGCTACGGCAACATTTTGTTTCCTGCGATTTCTTTGTATTTTCCCTGTGAGCGCGTGCTGTCGGCATCGGGTACTACAAACGATGGCATCACCCTAAACAGAAGGACATTGAGGCACACTAGTTTGACCAATATATACTTTCCTACACGAAAGCGCAATCTCGTATACCGCCGCTGTGGCCCAATCCACAAACGATCGGGCGTGCTTTTTGTTGCAGCCATTCGTCTGCTCTCTTCCCAAGGAAATCCTCGGACAAAGGCCCGAAGCTTGCGTGGTGCAGAGAACACGAAAGGTACATGGTACCTATTCGCTACCTTCTTGAGGTTGTGGGACAGTTTATGTATATATGTCACCACTTCTGGTCTACACATTCATTGTGGTGGCTCTGGCCGCGCCCTCTGGTTTACTTTGGTCTTCTGGAGCAACGTCTCAGCAACAGCCGTAATGACCGAGCAGGGGAATCCTGCAGATTTCAGCCTGGGTACCTGAGCAATAAAGCTTCTCTGCGTTGAGTGTGGGCCCGACTTCCTGAGGGCGGACCCTTAGCAGAGAAAGGCCATGGCTCGCTTAACAATTTTTGAGTGAGCCGAGTCATACGGCATCAGCCCCTTTTGCACTCGAGGGTTATAACACCAGCCTAAACGATTACTTTTTGCAGGTGAGACAAACGCTGCCTTTGTTTCCACTGCACTGATCGAACGCGTACAAACTGGGAACGCCGGTGTTTCGCGATCCGGTTCGAACTCGTCCGACGAGTGCAGAGAAGACAAAGGCTTTAGGGTCTACCCCCTAATCCTTCCAACCAGAGCTCTATGCTCTGACGTCCCTCTCGACTCCTCCTC